GGGCACATAGATGAAGAGGCTTACACAGAGTACAAAGAACACACTAGGACGTGGTCCACACTTAAAGGTTAAACTTCATGATAGGTGTTATTCTGACCTCTCCTTCCTAAAATGCTATGTCATTGTTAGATTGACGGACCCTCTGCCTTAAATGCTTAAGTTGATGACCAGGAACAAGTATACAGATAAAAGACTTTTAATTTTCCTTTTAACTAGCTATATGAGTGGCTACTCTGCCAGGTCAGTGATCACAGAGACAGCACTAAAGACCTCGATAAGGGAGGAAAGAAATGGCAGCCTCCACCCTATCTGCATTGACAGATATTTATTACTAGATCTGTAAAGAGATGACTAGTCTTCAAACCAGTATTAACTGCATATGTTAATATTCTTCACCAGCAAAGCTGTTTGGATCTGCTTATATCCAGTGAAGTAACAGCACCTTACTGATACTTTATAACATCACAGTAATATTGGCAGGCACTTAATTATTACTGGCCAATAGAAAACACAAGAGGACTGACACTAATGTCACCACACAGATGTATTACAGCACTGCATTCTACAGTCATAAAATAATGACTTTGTGAACTTTCTATAAAGTCACTACATAGGAAACATATTTTCCTGTCACACTGGGGAAGTAACTGTAAAAGTCAGGGTTTTGCAGTTATGACTCTTTTCATTTGCTTTTGTCTAGTGTTCAAAGAACATCTCATATGATAAGAAAATTTGCTTCAAAAAACAGTGATTCCAAAAATCTAGTCAAGTGTAAAAGTGATATTAAAGTCACTTTTTTTTTTGTTTGCTAAGTGAGCTGCTATAAGCAGAACTTACAGTATAATGCTCTGTTGTTTTTATATGTTTTTTTTCCCTGAGCTTCATCCTCATACTGCCTTTCCACGAGCCCAGCCCAGCTTGGTTCCCAGCACAGACATACACGGGCAGAAGCAAGAGAGATACTGAGTGTGAAAAGCCAATGCCTATACCCAACATGGACAAAGTACAGCTGTTAAGGCTTGACAGGGGATTCTAACCCTTGCTTTCTCTACCAAAGCTAAAAAAAATATATGCAAAGGAGTACTACTTAAAAAGTATATAACTATTAATTTATATAAAAATAAATGTCCAAATCAAACTCAACTAATAGTTATCTTCTGCCTGGAAAATTATTTGATTGGTCATTGACCGGTAACACCACCTGGATTATATTTCAAATAACAGCTCAAAGACAGAAGTGTAATAAACCCATAACAAAAAAATAATATACTATATTGAAGATTTTAGATGAACGATTCTGATTTGGTTTTTTTAGCATTTTGTGATCAGCTCTTGCAGTTTTATGGAATAAGCCCACATATGGGTATCACCTATGCTTCTGTAATAAAAAATTAGACCTGATGGCTGATCTGCCAAAAAAAAAGAATCCATGTGACTGCTTTGGTGTTATTGGGGGATAAAGACTTTGTGTAGTGTCTCCCAGGTGCTCTGCAGAATCAGTTAGTCCCATTTTGCCTGCTGTTTTTTTTTAGTAAAGCAAATAAAAACTTCAATATGAATAATGAGACTGCTTTGTAAATGGCTCCCCCATAAGTAAAAATCTTACCTGAGTATGCTTGAAAATAAAAGAGGACACTGGCGGAGTAATAAAATTTCTCTTGCTTTTACTAAAACTAAGTTCCAGTGGCAACAGTAAGATATTTGGATTTTCCCATCACTTTTCCATCGCCATAAAACCTGACACCACCTCTATCCAGTCCTAAAAATTTTTTTTTAGATAGTTTTAGATAAACCTTAAAGAATAATTTTACCTTTTGTAGATGTTGTTCTTTAAGTGTTGTGAAACCCACCCTCCTGTGTGCAGGTAACATGGTCCTATACTTCCTTTCTGTCCCCATTCCAGCAATCATGGCCCTACCTGGTGCTGCAAAAGCCTTTCTTTTTTCTAAAAGCATCCCTGCTAGGGCCTCTTCATCCTGTGCATTCTTGCCCCCACATCCCTATTCATTTGCCTAAGGGGATACAGTACTCAACGGGGGGCCTTGGAATGAATGGAGCTGCAATAATGGAAGATAAACCTGGTGGGACACTTATGGAAGAAAGACTATGCAGCTCTGAGCAGTGTTTGCACAGTAAAATGTTGGTGAAAAAAACTAAAGAAAAAAGAGCGCAACCTAAATATAATCTCTTAAGGTGGAATAAACACAAATGGGAGTACCAAAAACCATCAAATATGAAGGAAAACACTATGTAATATAAATACCATACAGATGGAACCCAATAGGGATAATAGAGATGAGAAAAATAATTAGGGAATGTTCTGTCAAACAATCACTGACAGGTGTGTAGCCCAACATGCTGTTGTAGTCCTGCTCACTTATGGCAGTCTTTTCACTGGGATTGGACGCTTGGGTCCAGAAGGATACATGTAATGACAAGAGAGGAGAAATGGTCCTCTAAGTGTAAATTTGTAAAAACTTGATTTATTGCATGTGAAATACAGCAACTTACAAGAGGGTAGATAAAAAAGGCACTTCAATATCCATCAATGGGGTTTTAGCCATGGTGAATGGCATTGTGTGCAATCCAGGATGATGATCTGTCATCTGTCAGTGTAAGGCATGAGTGGCTGGCAAGATGGAGGAGGTCTGGCACTGAGGCTTGGAACACATTGTGGAGTGCAGCGTGTGCGCAATGACATCGCGGGACGTCGTAGCAACGCGTTTCCTGAGCATGCTCTGTGAGATGGCAGTCCTAGCGCGTGCTATCTTGCTGGCCACTCATGCCTGACACTGACAAATGACAGAGAATCGTCCTGGATTGCACACAATGCTGTTCACCGTGGCTAAAACCCCATTGATGGCTATTGAAGTGCCTTTTTAATCTACCCTCCTGTAAGTTGCTATCTTTCATGTGCAATAAATCAAGTTTTTACAGTTTACACTTAAAGGCGCCTCTCTTCTCTCTTTTCTTACAGTAAAAGTTGGTGGAATGTGGAGTACTAGACCAGACAGGTTTATCCTCAGGCCATTGGGGAAATGCCTTAGGCTAGGTTCACACTTGTGCTGTCTTGCATGGGCGTGGCAGCCCATTTATTTCAATGGGCTGCTGTACCTCCTGAAAATTCAGTGAAAAAGTCCCTGCACCATTTTTAAAAAACTCTGTCCACACGGAAACCACAAGTGTAGTGCAGTTCCCAGTGCAGGAAATCGTGCTCCGGTTTCTAAAGCATGGGGTACCATTAGAATTACCATCTCCTGAGCTGTGGCATGTATTTCTGTGCGGGTGGCTGTGGTGGTGGGAACAGGTGCAGTCCCACAGTGGCAATCACCTGCACAGGTGTGAACCTAGCCTTAAGGCTAGGTTCACACGGTACATCACATGTGATGAGCTTAAATCGCACCGCATCTGCACCAAAAAGGTACAGGACCCTTTTTTTGGGTCCGCACTAAAATCATATAGCATGGGTATTCACACCTATGCGATCCAATTCTCCACATTGCACCATGTTTTGCGGACTAATTTCGGGGTGTTGTTAACTTAACTACTTGCCGACCGCAGATAGCCGAATGACGGCTGCACTGCGGCCGGCCAGTTCTGGGTGGACGTCATATGACGTCCTCCCAGAATGCGCTCTCCTGTGCGCCCCCGGGGGGTGGTGCACCCGGCAATCACAGCGGCCTTTTACCACGTGATCAGCCGTGTCCAATGACGCGCTGATCACCGGGAAATGCAAATGCCGGTTCTCGGCTGCACTTTCCTCACACTGTCAGATCGTGAGGAAAGTACTGCCGAAAACCGGCAGTTGTCAGAGCGGGGATCGGCACCGATCATCAGGGTCACTGATCATCAGTGCCCTGATGATCGGTGCCCAGCAATGCCACACACAAGTTCCGCCCACCTGTGCCCAGCAGTGCGATCACCTGTGCCCAGCAATGCACCCACCTGTGCCCAGCAGTGCGCCCACCTGTGCCCAGAAGTGCCATCTACCTGTGCCTAGTAGTGCCACCCCACCTGTGCCCACCAGTGCCACCCACCAGTGCCCATCAGTGCAGCCCAGCAGTGCTGCCAGTCAGTGCCACCAGTTAGTGCCCAGCGGTTGTGCCAGTCAGTGCCCAGCAGTACCGCCAGTCAGTGCCCAGCAGTGATGTCAGTCAGTGCCACCTATCAGTGCTGTCTATCAGTACCCATTATCAGTGTCGCCTATCAGTGCCACCAATCAGTGCTGCATATCAGTGCCACCTATCCGTGACACCTCATTAGTGCTGCCTATCAGTGCCGCCTATCCGTGCCACCTCATTAGTGCTGCCTATCAGTGCCGCCTATCAGTGCCCTTCAGTGCTGCCTATCAGTGCCGCCTATCAGTGCCCATCAGTGCTGCCTCATCAACGCACATCAGTGAAGGAGAAAAATTACCTGTTTGAAAACGTTTATAATAGAAACAAAGAAACTTTTTTTTTTTTTTTCAAATTTTTTTTCAATTTTTTTGCTTATAGCACAAAAAGTAAAAGTGCCCAGCAACGATTAAATACCACCAAAAGAAAGCTCTATTTGTGAGAAAAAAATTATAAAAATTTCATATGGGTACAATCTTGCATGACCGCGCAATTGTCAATCAATGTGCGACAGCACTGAAAGCTGAAAATTGGCCTGGTAAATAAGGGGGTATAAGTGCCCGGTAGGCAAGTGGTTAACATACACACCAGCATCGGTTTCGCATGAACGGGGTGCGATTCTGATGCGGTGCGGAATTCGCACAGAAAACGCTGCAAATTCTGCACTGCACCCAGCCTAAAGAACATTGTTCTCTACCTATTTATCTTTAAAATATATTGTCTGCTGTGCTGTGCATTTGTGAAACAACCTGGTATGGAATAGATGTTACAAATGATGAAATAGTTCAACATTACAGAAGAAATATTAGAGAAGTTTTATGATCCTGTCACTGGCTACAAATTACGTGAATTTCAATTAAACACATTTCTTTTTTCTCTTCTTTAGTCTGTAAGGAGTATCTGCAGAGTTTTTACCAGTCTTTATTAGAAAAGAAATCAGAATTTACTCCAACTGCCATAGAGAAAGAATTAATCAACACATGCAGAGATGCTACAGGAAAAGAAAACCGCCTGGTAAGAATCAACATGTTTTTTTCTGTGGCCAAATCTATCAGCGAGGCTTTGGTTCGAAGTGTACTTGGCAAAGTGACAAACATGTCCAAAGCACATTGATGTGTAGTGGAATATGCAAACTTTTGTTCCATTTTGCAAGCATACAAAAAGCAGGTAGAAGATTAACAAAATTGTTTTCCTTTCTGAATGCCAATATCTACATTTTTCAAACTAAAACTAAATAATATAATTGAACTTACAATTATACAATTCTTTGTGACTGCGCATCATTTACTGTTATAATAGGGATCATATTTTTTTCCCAATATAATATTAAAAAAGTAAATAATTTCACTGCCAAATCTAGATCTCTTTATTAAAACAAACAAAACTGCGCTTCCTATGTACCCAAGGTGAATTTTAGTTAAAAAAAAATAAACATTTTTTTTTTTTCTCGGAAAAGCCATAATATACTGCATGGCTTTTGTACTTTGACCAAAAGGCTGAAAAGTGTCAATAAGGGGGCTTTTGATTAAGCCAGCCTCCTCACTATAAAAGGAAGGGGGGCAGAACAGAAATAATTCCATTGAATTGGAAGCTGTTGCAAGGAAATCAGTCAAACTGCACAAGGACAGAATGATTTATTGCTTTTTGGGAAAACCATCCCATTGCTGCATTTTTTATTTTTTTATTTACTTTAGGTACTTATATAGCTTCATCAATTTACACAGTGCTTTACATGTACTATATATATTGTACATTCACATCAGTCCCTAAGCCTCAAGGAGCGAACAGTCTAAGGTTCCTAATTCACATTTATACATACACATACTAGGGCCAATTTAGACAGGATCCAATTAACCTACCAGCATGTCTTTGGACTGTGGGAGGAAAACTGAGTACCCGGAGGAAACCCACGCATGCACAGGGAAACATGTAAACTCCAAGCAGGTGGTGCCATGGCTGGGATTCAAGCCAATGACCCTAGTGCTGCCAGGTGCTATTGCTAACCCTTTAGCCACTGTGCTGCCCACAGCAGCACAGTATTGTTATTATATGCAGGATTTTGTTTCTATTTTTTTGTGGTTCATTTGAGGTCAGAGGTCACTTTTATCTGATGTCTGGTCCATAGCATTTTTTTCTTGCTGTGAGGATTCCCCTTTAAAAACCCTGGGCTCTTTGTCTCTAGTAAATTTGGGCCTAGCTTTGCTAATTATAATTGTCCTGCTGCTGGCCAATTTTACAGTGATGTATTATCTCCAGTCTCATAAGTAAAACACTTTCCTGTGCTCTTTGTCTTTAGTACATTTTGGCCTATCATGTCTCAATAAAACTGTCTTGCTACTGGCCAATTTTTACACTTTTGCATTCTCTGCAGTAAATTCATTTTTGTAATAAAGCCCCAGGCTGTGCTCTTTGTCTCCAGTAAATTTAGGCCTAGCCTTGCTATTAAAAATTGTCCTGCTGCCGGCCAATTTTACACTTCTGTGTTATCTGTGGTGTCTTAACTCAAGTGGTAAACCATCTGTGGATCGATGACCCCTAAAGGAGCCAATGAAATTAACTGCAGCCCCCTTACTTGTCCAGAGGCTGCCCACTCTGTTGCCTGTCCCGGTAGCTTATTGACTTTGGAATGAATATATTTAATATCATTGTGACATATGGATTGATTACGTATTATTTATTGAATCATTTACAAGATTCAGTGCACATTTTTTTTGTATTAAGGTTTGATCCACTGATTGATTTATCATATCTTAGTAGATTTATATATATTTATTCATCTATCTAGTGATTAGAATTTATTGTTTTGCGGTCCTTACACTGATAACGCTTCACTGTTTGCAATATGATTTTAGATTGTGTCCATAGATATGCTTTAAAGCTGAACTCCAAGCAGTTAAAGTGGTTAAAATTTGACTAAGATATAATAGATGTCCTCAACTCAGAATCGTTGCCTGCAAGGCCATCCTGAACCCAACCTCCTTAAAAATCCCACCAATAACATACCACACAGACTCTTAGAGTAAGTCAAAATGGCCATTGCAGGCTTTTATTAAAAATATAACCAAATTACCAAAACATTCATTTAAAACAGAAACAGTCAAAAAGGTTGCTGATCTTTGAATGCACTAAACACATATTGTATTTGTGGAACTACTTATTTTTACATAGGCCCCAAGCTGCAACACACCAGCTCAGAGACGAATATCCCAACTATGCGCAGAGACCTCCATGTTCCAAACTCTGTTAACCAGTATGCGCACGAGGACACCATACCATGGATGGGTTCCCTACCATTAGACTAACCATACATTTTTAAGCCTTTAAAGATCACAAACGCCAGGTTGCATTGGCAACCAACATAAAAGCCTTGAGAAAACAGGGAGGGTGGGTGAGAAGTTCCATCTTCGTTTGTCAGCTACCAACTTTACATGCAGCTCTCCACCCTATCCTGAACACCACAAAGCCGATCCTGGACCACAATGGCCCACAATCAGGTAAATGATTGCAGCATTTGGTCAAAACATTAACCCTTTTTAAACATTTCTTCCCTGTTAAAGTGGTACTAAAGACTGAAGTTTTTTTTTTACCTTAATGCATTCTCTGCATTAAGGTGAAAAACCTTCAGTATGCAGTTTCCCCCCTCAGCCCCCCTTTATACTTACCTAAGCCTGATCTCAATCCAGCTTTGTGCACAAGAGCAGAGGCTTTCTAAGCTCTCTCCTTCCTCAATGGCTCAAAAACAGCAGCAGGAGTCATTGGCTCCAGCTGTCAATCACATCCAGTAAGGAGGGAGCAGGGGATGGGGCTCAGGTTGAGTTGTGCTCTGTGTGTCTATGGACATACAGTACTGATTTGGGAGTGAGCATGCACTTTTGTACACTTTAATTGCAGCTGAGTAAAATGTTATGATTTCATTACTATGATTAGAACTAAAAAAAATACAAAAATATTTAGTTTTTTTTCTTTTTATTCAGGTAGATATTACCACTTAAACTCTCATATTTGTGAAACCCTTATGGACCAGAGCAATTTTTACATTTCCACTCTGGTCCTGTTTAGATTGCAATAACATTGTCATTACTTAAAGCAGAGTTCCTCCTGGAAAAAAAAAGTCAGCAGCTACAAAAACTGTAGCTGCTGACTTTTAAAATACAGCCACTTACCTGTCCCTAGGTCCAGCGGTGTCCTCACCACCACTGGTTTCACCAGCCATCTTCTTTCTCTGGCGCCGGCATCTTCAGTGTGGGCACCCAGCTGTGACAGTTTGCGGCATCACAGCCCACTGCGCATGCATGAGAAGCACTGCTCTTTGTGAATGGTCCCGTAGTCTTCTGGGATCTGTCACGTGTCCCAGAAGACTACAGAGAGGGAGGGTAGGAGGACAACTTCAGCTTCCGATCGCCTAGGCGATCGCAGCGAAGTGGGAGCGGGTTGTCCTGTTCCCCCCCGCTCCCCAAAGGTGCTAATCCTAAATAGGAAGCGGGGGACAAAGGCTTAAAAGCGGAACTTCCCCTTTTGGGTGGAGCTCCGCTTTAAGATTACTACATTAATACACATATGTTATTTTTGTGGGACAAATTGGTTTTAATTGGCAATATTGTCTTGCTTGTTATTTTCTATTTAATCTTCAAACAAAAAAACATGTAGAAAAATGACAAAAAAATTGAGAAAATTAATATTTTGTTGGCTGCTTCTGCTGTGTAGAAAGCATTTCCTGGCTGCCATTTTGATAGCCGGTAATTTCTAGGAATAAGAGAATGATGATTTGAAGAGCTGGTTACTTGTCTTCTAAAATATCCATTTTTATTAACCACTTGTCCTCTGTCTTATAGCAGAAGTACTGCAACAGGGTGGCACGGATGTGCAAAATCACGTACATATACACGATTTGCATTTCAGGGTAGGGGGCGCTCATGTGCAGCGTCCTACCCGAGCCGCTAATGGCTGCTGGGGATGTCAATCACTAGGTTCCGGCTGGCAATTCCCGGCTGGGATTCGGTGATCGTCGGCAGGGCTGAGAGGGGAGAGATCTGTGTGTAAACACAGATTTCTCTCTTGTCAGCATGGACATGCTGCTTTGTATCTTTCTGCACAGCAGCAAAGTAAAACACAACACAGCACACAATTAACCCCTTTGATCGCCCCAGATGTTAAGCCCTTCCTGCCCAGTGTCATTAGTACAGTGTCAGTGATTTTATTAGCACTGATCACTGTATTAGTGTCATTCGGATGTCAGTGGCAGTTCGTTCCCACTCAGTGTCAGAATGCCCGCCGCAGCCCAGCTATAAGTCGCTGATTGCCGTCAATACTACTATAAACAAAATTTAAAATCCAGTATATATACTGCCATTTGTAGACACTATAACTTTCACATAAACCAATTATTATACAATTATTAAAGAAATTAGATTTTTTTTTTTTACTGGATATATTTTATAACAAAAAGTCATATATATATATATATATATATATATTTTTCCCGAAATTGTCCGTCTTTTTTTGTTTATAGCACAAAAAATTAAAAAAACGCAGAGGTGATCAAATACCACTGCAAGAAAGCTCTATTTGTGTGGAAAAAATGTCAAAATTTTCATTTATGTACAGTGCTGCATGACCGCACAATTGTCAGTTAAAGTAACGCAGCGCTGTATTGCAAAAAAATTACCTGGTCAGGAAGGAGGGTAAATCCTCTGGAGGGCAAGTGGTTAAAGCAGTGCACAGTTAAAATGGCTTACGCATTTCAGCAATAAGTCTTAAGGGCTTTGATTAAGGCGTATTGCTGAAACGGGTAAGTCCATTTTATCTGTACACCTTACTCACTTTAATAAAGATGAATATTCAGGAAGACGAGTAGTTGGCTCTTCAAGTCATTATTCTCAAGCTGTGACTGTATTGGGTAGACACATAGAGCCAGAGCACTGACAGTTTGCCTCTGAGGGGAATATACCTGGCGTAACTTCCTTCTTTTCAATTTCCAGGAATAGTAGCATGTGGAGCAGAGCTGGACATAAGAA